TCGGCAGACAGTCAGACGTACAAAAACAAAGGCAACATCAAAGCGAGATCAAGGTACCCAACACAGCAGAGCAGGCAGGGAGGTCATGAAAAAAAGAAACACAGCACAGAGGCCGAAGGCAATACAAGGACATACATAAAGGAGTATAGCATACGGCAGGGAGGGAAACCGGGCGCAACAACATCAGCCGGGTGCATAGTTCGCCACAAGCGTTGCCTCGGCCGCCCTACTCGCTTCTACAGCAGTGCCCGTTCGCCGTTTCTTCCCCCCCACCGCCGCTTCGCCGTATCTCTTTCTCCTCGGTCCTGAGATGGTCGTACTCTCTGCTTCTGCTCCCCTCGCGCGCTGGCGCTTCGCGGACGCTTCCGCCTCCTGCCTGTGCCATTTCCTCATGAACCATGCCGCCCCGTCCTCGACCTTGTTGTACCACACCTCCGAGTTCTTGGCGCTCTCTTTCCATTTCCCCCCTTCCTTTTCGTCTCCCATGTTGAAGGCCACGAGGTCCTCTCCTAGACGAGACACCCAGTCGCTCTCCTGCCCGCCCCGGTATCCGCGTGTGCATGCCTGTCTCCGACAACAACCGTCCGCACAGGGGATGTACCTGTGCAAGCAACGCCTGTTGGCACATCTTCTCCACCTCATCCTTGGACAGAGCATACGGCAAGCGCGTATGCTGGCGGCGCTAGATGCGAAGACGCTGACGGGAAACCGCCTCACAGAAGCGCCAGATCGACGAAAAAACGGCCCGCTCATCAGAGAATCGAGATCATCAACCACTATCGCACAAAATGCATAAAAATCGTGATGAATTTTACGATTCTGTACTACAAATAGAGAGCTGTGATCGGAGCTGTGATCTGAGCTGTAGCCCGGAAAACCCTTGCCTTTGAGCGAAATTTTGTACACACCAGACGAACCACCCTACACTCCCAATTATACTGGGAACCACACGCACTGCAATCACAACAATATCAAGCACCGAGGCAGTACGTTGGCGTCGGCTCCGGTGTGCGCCTTCTCTGCTCTCCCCCGCGGATGCAGCTGGTATGATATGCGGCACAACACATGCTACAATATCACGATGAACGGAGAGGTGAAAAGGTGCAGAACTGAAGAGCGGTTGTGGTTGGTGAAAGGATTCGGCGAGGTGCTCGCCCAGGTTGCAGCAGTAGAGCAGTGTGCTAAAAGGATGCCGGCAGACTTGTGAGATTCTTTCGTGTTTCGCTCATTTGTCTTACAATGTATCGGCTTTTATGACTTTCTCTCGATGTCACGAGCTTTCGATTACAGCAACGCTGGCACAGCATGGACCCTCCAGAAGAAAGCAATCCACCTCAACGTATTAATGGACATATAATCTATGTATGTTCTTTGGTTGGTTGTTCTTTTTCACTGTACGTTCGCAGACACATTCTGACAGCACTTCAGACAGCAGCTTTGTGCCCCGCCAGCTTCTTGTTCCATGCCTACCATGGTGTTTTTGTACAGACAGCACTTCAGACAGCAAGTATGCTGTAGTCGGCAATCATTCGTTGGTACAGAGTGGGACAGGTAGGAGGTGACGTTACTGTAGTCGAACGGTGAGACGGACGTGTAGTTCAGTTTTGGGCACGCGTACGGTGCTGCAGGGATTATATATAGGTGTAGTAGTACCTCTTCGGGCTCTTGTATACCTTTTTCTTGCTAAGTGTGCGTGTTCTTTAGATCCTCAGATGGCTCTAGCACTTTCGTGACCACGGGCCGAGAGTCTTTGCTAGATTTTGGCATTTAGCAACTGGCATACGGTTTAATGTGAAGTCAACAACAACAACAACATGGTTTAAAAACACTCCCCCGGGACGCGACAAAATCGACGATAGAACACAACGACGGCGGCGACAACGACAATACCCATTCGCGGCGGGACCTGTGATTTCGTGTAGTGGTGGTGTTGGTTGTGCACCTCAAACCTGAACCCAGCGGGTGAATCGGATAGTTGACCACAAAAATAGCAGTGCAAGCTACAAGCAGCACGCGCTTTTGGGCGGGCACGAAACACTGCTGTGCCCAGAAGAACAGAGGGACAACCACACAGCAGTACTACTGAATGGAAAAGGCACTCATTTCCCCTCACGCATACCCCGTTGATCGATCTTATGATGCCATATGTTGTGGTATTCGGATAGTCTAGACGAGACTAGTCTAGTTGATCAACTTGTACATGCGTCGTTTTTGTCGTGATTTCGAACCCGTTCAAATCCACACGAGGTGTCCATTTAAAAATTGCAGTAGTGGAAACTAGTCTATCTAGACTATGCTGTTAATGAATGCAGATGCAAGTCAAGACGTGACACTTCCCTCTACAGACTACTTAACAGCAGTCGAGGACACGTCCAATCATCGCCTATGGAGAGAGCACCGAATCTAATCAGTCGCTCTTAGTGTTCGTTCTTGCGGTGAAGGTATGCTCTACTCCCGTACGCCGGCTCACCTTGAGCTGGTTGGTGAAGTCGGCCTCTTCATCGTCAGGTGTAGACATCGATGACCTTGGTCACCTCGGTCACCTGATGGAGTATCCACCCGCGGTCCAGCCCCCCCACCCGCCAAGCACTCCTCAAGGCTAGTTGACTAGGACTACTGCTGTAACCTTTCTCTACAGCAGGAAGGACAACCGAGCTAAGTCGGTGATCCAAGGAGCGCAGAACAACTGCCTGGCAACATTTTCGTTCCTGTTTTTCGCCGTCACTCGATAATCTCTTTGGCTCTCGGCACGGTCTACTTTTGGAGTGATCGACGGCTGGAAAAGGAGCGGTCTACCAAATAATTTTATGCTCCACCCGCTGGCAAGTCACTGATAACGCAGAGTGAGGATCACGGTTAATCTAATAATCCTCCCGCTTGACAATCTACCATGCGTTCAGACCACTTCAGACGAGCAGACCGGCGACCAGCGACCAGCGTGACAGTCACAGCGTGAGGCGGAAGCGGTGCAGTAATAAATGTTGCGTTTCACGAACCAGCTTTACCCTGAGCTATAACGCCGAGCAGGAGGGTTTCCATTCTCGAAAACGGCCGCTTTGCCGCTTTGGCGTTGGCGCTGTGGGCTCCAGAGTCGTAGAGAACACGCGGGGGGTGGGTGTGATAGAGGCCAGACAGCAAAGAGCGCGGCAGCGGGAGTAGAAAAGGACGAGGTACCGGACGCCCGGGATACCGCCGTACCAAGAGCATGTTTAAGAAGAAGGGCTCTAAGGAGAAAAACACTGAGGAGGAGGCGCCAACTTCTCCCAAGGGAGAGCCTACGCCAAGCTACGGCGGACATCCAGATGTCGGAGGTGCGATAAGAAGCAACGTTGCACAGCGGTGCTTGTGATTGTTAAGCAGTGTGATTTTGGACCACCCGCAGAGGTCGAAGAACAAGCGTGAACTGCTGTTGCGCGACGAACGAACGATGCTAGATGTTGGACCAAAGACATTGGTCCGCGCGCCGACAGACGGCAGCAGGACGTTGCTCTCCCCTCAACATCAACTATCTGGACCTAGGGATAAAGCGGTCGGTTCGCCGAGGCTTCCGCCTTCTTGACATGTGCTGTCTCTATCACAGAGGTCGAGCCGCGCTATTCCGCACACCTCAAAGCATGCCAAAACTTGCAGCGTCTCGACGAGATGTTTGTCTTTCCTACGCAGCCGGACTCCGAATGAAATTTCTTGGTCCGCCCGACAGCTCCTGTCGTGATGCGGCCGTTCGGAGTCGGAAGCAGGAATAGACTAATGTGTGTTCTTCTGCTGTGCTCTCTCTCACTCTCTGCACCGAGGGGATGCCAGGGGTCAGTCAGACCAAGCCCGGGACTCTGTTGCCGGTGTAGCCTACGCGTTCTGTACACATCCGCCTATGAGCACCCAGGCATGCCCTTCTGTACCACAACCCTTCGGGCGTGTAGCTTCAGCGCAACCCGTTCTTCTGAAACCAAGCCACGGAAGGTGGCCGCAAGTGCTTCATGGGCCGCCCTATTGGCGAAACCATCCTTCCTTTGGCCGTCGACCTGCCTCCATGTAGTGGGAGGCTACCCCCCCCAGGCTGGTGGTGCGGCCGTTCCACTAGTCTAATTATTTATTTTATTTTATTTTATTTGTTTCTGATTATATTTTGTTTTCTTGTATTTTATCGCTCTGCTGACCCTTGGGGTCCATTTTATTTTGGTATACCTTTTCTAGGTACGTTAGCCTGTGACCACGGAAATTGGCCGAGTCAAGTGATGGATTAGTACGGAGAGATTGAGACAGAAGGAGGTACTGGATAGAGAGACCGGGATGGTTTTTAATGTGAAGACAACAACAACAACAACAACAATCCTTGTGTCGATCGAGCACGGGCACCGGAAACATCTCTGTCGAGGAGACCAACTCCGTTTTCTACACAAGAAGTATTCACATTTATTTGAAACGACCACAGATCCTCAGATGGCTCTAGCACTTTCGTGACCACGGGCCGAGAGTCTTTGCTAGATTTTGGCATTTAGCAACTGGCATACGGTTTGATGTGAAGTCAACAACAACAACAACAACATTTTCATTGTCGCCAACGACGCTCCACCGCGCTGCACGGGCGCACCACCTCTCCGGCGCCGCAAGTACACTTCGTCCGTTACGCTCGGGGGGGCTGGGTCGAAGTGCTTGCCGACGGTCATGATGCAAATCTATGCTTAGAGCATGCGACTTGACAGCCTAGAGCTCAGCGATCGTTGACCCAAGTTCTTCGTCTTACCTAAGACATACCCCGTGTCCATCAGTCCATCAGCAAGAAGCGAGGCGGTCCAATTTTTTATGTGTGGTATGACATGTACACAGATTGCTGGCGTTGGTTTTGGTGTATCCCTTGCTTTCGACCTTCGGACATGGCAGCATTGGCTGGGTTTGGTGCTAATGAACGGAAAAGATATTAGCGAGCACGGATAAACACTTCGTGTTTGGAAAATACTTCGTGTTTGGAACATGAGCGTGCAGCGTTCGGTCTGGAGTCCGCTTGCTCACCCGATGTCGGTTGTCCCGCTAAAAAATGGTCTCCCGCAACGGGCTACGAATAATTATCGCCCTTGTTTTTTGCTTGGTCAACAAATTGAGAAATACACCCTTGCGAGGCATGAAAACAGGGGATTTGTGAAATAACTTAACCCTTCTATGTAGCACTGGAAGCCTCACTGGGGACATTTTGGGGACACAGCGCTCGAAATTTCTGTTTACCCCACCTTGAAGTCACCCTGGGCTCCGCTGTGTGACACGCACGTGAGAACCCTTGGTCTCTCATGCTTGGCTGAGGTGGTACGCTGTGTCATGTGCTGTGGGATACCTCTCCTCGGCCTCTGACTTGCTGTACACCATCTCCCAAGCCCCGTGTCCCCTTTATCGTAAAGCTGTTGTACATTGCCGGGTACTGGAAATAAATTGCTGACTTGCCTTCAATTGTATGAAAAGTGTCCCCACGTTTTTTGGGGACACTTTTTATACTGAAGCCAAGTCACCCTTTGTCTGGCAAGGAGCTCGGATGCTTTGGAGGGACTGCAGACCCTTCGACCAATATATGACGATCATTAATTGCGACATTTTTTTTTTTTGCGGAGTGACTGGGTACTAGGAATCAGGAAGGTTAACCCAAAAAAGAGGCGCAGGTCGTAACTTGCAACTGTCAACTCAACAGCAGCATGGCATCGGGTGGTGATCGAACAGACACGAACAGGCCTCCGAGCATCATTCGACCAACAGCAGAACAGCAGTGCCCTTGGCCGTGCTCTCCACACCCAACCCAGCCCGCACACACGCCAGGGTTGACGTCTTTTCATTGGTCAGTCGGTGTGGGGGTGAGCCTTTTTTTTTGTCGTACTTTCCCCCCCGCCCCGGGGGTTGCCTCTCGGTCACGACGAGCGGGTCAAGGGCGATGTACCGTCGTAAGGTTGCGAGTCAGCTAGAGCACAGGGGTGCGAGCGATTTTCGCAGCGTAATTTCTCCACAGCCAGGAGGTTACCACTGTCGAAAAGGGCGGTTCTGGAAATATCTCATCGAGAGCTTTCCTGAGAAGTATCAGTTGGCGCTCGCACCCTTCTGATTGTGGAGAAATTACGCTTTGAAAATCGATCGCACCCCTATGCTCTGACTTGCAACCTTGCGGTAAATTCCCAATCTGTGAACACCCACGTGATTATTTCTTAAGTTGTAAAACTGCTCGGATTTCCGTTTCGCACACACGGGATACGGGATGTGTCTGTACCTACGCAGGCGGTGTGGACCCGGCGGGCGGGAAGGGGGGAATCATCGACAAGTTCAGCACGGGGCGGCGGCGGCTGAAGGAGAACATCGCCCAGAAGACGGGGAAGGAGGCGGTGGATAACTCGGAGTTCGAGGAGCGGTCGCAGAGGGTGACGGACTTGAAGGAGAAGGTGGGGAGGGAGGGGGGTAGGGGTGGACCGGCGTGTGTTGTCCTCGTGGTGTGGTCGTCCTTGGTCTTGTCAAAGGTGTGGATGCATGTGCAGCTAGGGGACAGGTTCGAGTTGTTTTTCTTTTTCTTTCTGGTCGTCTCCCTTCGGTGGACTGGTGAGACGAGATCGCCACATGTAGTGATGCCCTCCTACAGGAGAAGTAAATAGAAACCTAGGGATGAAGGTGAGAGCCCGACGGTTTGGATGACCCGCGTCGCCCTAACAGCGGACTCACACGAAGTACTGGCGAAGCGCGCGGCCCGAAAGAAGGGCAGTTGTGCTGACAAGGATGATTTCGCGCACTGCGCTTATTGTCGCCTACTTTGAATGCTACTGAGACAAGTGTCATTTGATTGGCTTGCTGGTGAGCGCGGTTGATGTACTAGGCAGAGAAGCACGCAGGGATACAACCAGCAACGCGACGGGAGCACATCGCCACGAATAGTGGCACGTGGTACAGGAGAAATGCGTCGTGGGCCTGTTTTCCTTTGGCACAAATTATCCTGGCTCCCAATGGCTGTAAAACTGTGTTTACCCTTTGGCTGTACCTCCTTCGGCGGCCCCTCCCACGCAGTATCGGGGAAGCCGGGAGACTCTTACTCAGCGAACTACTCGCAGTTTGGATCCCGCTAAGTCCGCGTGTTTCAACTGGTCAGCAGGTATTCGTGCGGTCGACGCCGGCCGAATAAACAGCGCGCACAAACACACGCGCGCCGGTTGGGTGTGTGCTGCCCCCCCCCCCCCCCCCCCCCCCCCCCCCCCCCCCCCCCCCCCCC